CCCCCCCCCACCAACCCTGGCCCCCTGCCCCTTCTGATCCCATAATACAAATACATGGAGGAAGAGATGGATTTTTCCTGTACAGATATGTGAGACGCCAGAAAAACAAAGTGGCCTGTGGAATGCATGGCCCAATGGATCTGGTTTCCCAGAAAGAACGGCTGAGCCCTAGCAGGAGGTTAATTAACTCTGGCAGCTGAGGGCTGGAAAGGTCTCAGCTTCATGCATTGCAGTCCCTGTCCATGGGTGAGGAGGGGGGCTGGCAGACCACAGGAGCCAAGGTTCATCTGCAAACACATGTGAAAGGCTCGGCTGGCCTTGTGCCCGGGTCCTGAGGGGGGAACGCGAGAACGATCAGTGGATTGTTCAAGCCGGGGCAGCACCCCTTGGGAAGGAACGACAGCCGCAGAGCAGCTAGAAAAATGCAGCCGCGCAAGGGAACCCACTCTTCCCACACTGGACAGCGAGCAAGGAGGTGCTACCGCAGCCAAACCACCTGTCCTCCGCCCTTCCCTTCTCCCAGCACTAGGTGCGCCCTTCTCTCCTGGCCTCCTGTGCGGAGAGCAGAGGCTGCAGAGAAAGAAGAGGCACTAGATGAGCAGAGAAGGGCTAAAGGGAAGCAGAGCAGAAAGGAACAAGTGGAGGAATAAAAAAGCGACAGCAAGCATCCAGCACAAAGGAGTCAACAGGGTACTGTGGGGTGTCTGACAGCAAGGCGCTGACACTGCAGAGGGGTTACCCAGGCATCAAAGAGCAGGACCCAGCAACCTATTGCGCCTTGACGGTGGGATGGCCTCTGCTCTCTCCACCGACCTGAATGAAGCATTTCAGGGCCTGGAAACTTTCCTCTAGTTTTGCATCCCTTTGAGGAGCATGAGACTCCTGTATCCTGTATCTTGGGGTAATGCTGCTCCACCCGTAAGGTTGGAGCCCTGTTCCCCGCATGCAGCACACAGTACTGAAGCCTCCAGTTCTGGCAAGCAGCAGCCAGAGGAGACTCTCACATGTTCTGCAAAGAATCCACAATAAATTTCAACCTTCATATGGCAAAAGTTGGGACTGGAGAGGGATTGTCCCAGTAAGCAGCTCAGCTCTGTGCCCTGCCCAGTACTTCAGCCACTAGGAGTATGTGACCTTGTGTTACATGACCCACATTAACATTCAGCATACAAGCTTCTGCAAGAACCAACCCACCTGTAATGTCTGTTGCAAAGATGACAGCCCAAAGGCTGCGGCCAGACCACTCCTTTGGCACCATGTCACCCTGACAGCAACTCATCTGCATCCAAAGCGGCTTTGAAACAGAGTGCCCACGTATACTACATTATGTGGGGCTGAGCACAGATACCGCTGATGAAGGGCAAGAAAAGCATGCTGAGGGGTGGGGACCAAAGGCACAGCTTCTAGTGAAGCCAAGAGTCCTGGCGAAGCACAGCACCTGGCATCAACAGCTTACAGAACAGACAAGCAGCAAGCTCTAAAGAAGGCAGGGAAGAGAGGGAATATTTTACCCAAACAGCTGAGCACAGGGGTCTCCCAGGATCTTTTCCCCTTTAAGCCACATGGTTTTCATGAAGAAAGTCCTGAACTAGAGTCCAGGATGCCAGCACTCAACTTCCAACTTGGCGTGTTGTGACCCTGAGCACCTCATGTTACTGCTCTGTGCCTCAGTTTCCCCATCTCTAATAGGAATTGTTTCACTGACCTCCTTGAGCATCTGTAGATGAAGAGCACTATCTCTCAGCTAGATATCTGTTATAGGCTATTCTCATGACTCCCCAAAATAATAGATTCATTGCAGGCTACATAAACAGTGCATGACCACACACCACATCAGATCAGCTAAGGGCACATTCCTCAGCTATAAATATTCAGGCCCAGAAACAGGCTATGAAGGTATTCAACAATACCAGAGAGAAATTAGACAAAAATGCATCTCTGGGGTTGTTAGGTAGTGATAAATAAAGCAGGCAGATGATCTGAATCCGACACAAGGTTCCTTTGTATAATGAGAAGACAAAACAATAATGTAAAGGATTAGATTTCACCAATTAAGATACATTTTTCAGTGTGCCAGGTATCTGAAGCTAAGTCAACATGCTATGGCCAGGGTTTGACCTGAGGAGTCTGCAAAGAACAGGGAGGGTGGAAAGGCCAGGGTGCTGGTCCAAGTGTGACATTTGAAAAAGCAGGCCATTTAGTGCAATCAGTTGTCTTTAGGAAAGGCAAGAAACTGCTCTTCAGAAGCAACTCTGTAAGCAGCTGCTATCCCCCACCTTGTTTGTAACACTCCTACAATCATCATCATGCACTGGTCATCACCCCCAAACCTCAAACTGCTTTATCCAAATGTAGTGTACCCCAAAGACCATTGTTTTGAGCTCCCCAACCAAAAAAGCCAGTCTTGTAACTCAGCTATTCAATTCTCCTTCACAATTTTAGGACTTCCATACAGGACCTCCTGTGGCCTAGTCCATGGCTCCCTGACTCCAGAACCCCAACATCTCATCATCTCAAAGTATGAATACTAAGTCCCTAAGTATTTTTACTTCTCTCTCTGCCTTGCCGCAACTCTGCTTCAGGAGCTCAGCTTTCATTTAAAGAGCTATGCTTCAAGTGCTTGGTTGTGATGGTAAGCTTCATAATAATGTGAGCCCAACTTAAACCAGAAGAGCAGTGCCTGCTGGAGTTGGCAAACAGTCTGAGAGAGCAGTCCTGAGAAGCCTAAACTGCCTCCATTCATCTCTGTTGGGTTGTCAACACCGAAACCTAGAGACAGCATAAATGTAACATCATCAACTGTTTCTATAAACGGGTGCAGATATAAAGTTGCAAATCCACCCTGCCTTCTGACTGACTTCAGACTAATGTAGCTAAATACCTCTCTCTATAAACAGGAACAGCCAACAAATGGACTCATCTAGATCCTAAACAGACTTCCCTTCCAGCTCTCCTCAACCAAGCTATCTAGACCTTCAGCTAACCACTGGCAAGGTTATTTTGTACAGTTAAAAAACTCCAATCATCTGGATATAATGTAAAAGAAAGGGAAGTTATTATCAACACCCTGATGCTCCTGAGCTCATTTTTTTTTATAGTTAGAACTGAAAAGCAGTATTTGAGTTTAAAATTAAAAATACTGCATATTTCCAACTTGCTGAACCTGGTTACAAAATTAGGTTCCCTTTTTTTGCTGCTAACCCTAAGGAGCCCAGCTTTATACTCTGTCTCTGATGGGAGCTAGCAACATCCACCTGCAAGCAAGAGACCACAACTGACTCCACGCCCTCACCTGGAATAATTACAGCAATTAATTTGCAAGTGAGTCTTTACAAAAGCCTTGCAGTCCTACACAGGGAGCAGACTTCAGGATGACTCAGCACTGGAAGAGACAAGACTATCCTGCAATTCCTCCGTCCAGGCTGCATCTAAATCCTTTCCTGCAGTGTAATTCTTGCTGTTCTTTTCCTTTCTCTAGGAGCTGTTCACTATATAGGAAAAACTTCCACATTGATATATACTACT